TCCTAAAGTGTCTGGAGCATGATAAAGAAACTCTACATTTGTGTTAAATGAATTATTAATGAGTGGAGCCCATGAAATTGACTTCTGGCCACTAACCTAATGCAGAGCTGGTGAGGAGCAGAGTAGAACCTGCTCTCGTTCAATCTCACATGTCCAGTACATGCTCCTTTCTCAGAAGAAGGAGTGATCACCAATCCCACTGTTCATATAAGGAAACAAGTCCAGAAAAAGAACAGTGGCTTGGAATGAGTTTCTGTGACCCTCTCTTTTCCTCCCTTCCATGGCTCTGTCTGGGCCCTCCCACATGGCTGCATTCTCAGCCACTGCCTTTTGTTGACCCCAAATTCTCTGAACTTCTGCATTGCAAGGGAAAATAAAGAATCTCCATTTTCCTCCTGTAGAGACAGGGTTCCCAGGATGGGGAGGGAGAAAGGGAAGAAGTGCTGCTTGATGTATACTGGGCCTCCAACTGCCCTATCCAAGATTCTTTCCTCAGCCTTTATAAGAGAAGTCTCAAAATTCCACCTTGGTAACGCAAGTGCACTTACCCCTCCTCGCCATCCCCACTGCCACTCAGACAAGCCTTCCAAGCAATCTCCCTGCCTCCAATCTCTCCCACTGGAAACCTATTCTACACAACCATCTGATAAATATTCCTACACATAGCTAACTTCATTCACTTTGTTCTAATACCTTCCAGTGTTCCATGTTATTCATGAACTGAGCCTGGGTGGGTCTAATATTGCCACCCAGCATTCTAATAGCCAAGGATGAATTAAAATTACAAGTGGCAAAGTTTCTGGAATAGTACAATGAAGTGACCGTCTGAGCAGTTGCTGCCTATCCTCCATAGAGGTCCCAGAAGCCTTAATGGGCTACCTCCTTGTCTAAATGGGATGTCAGAGAGAGATTTGAGAGATTTGTATACATCTCTTCTTGAGCCACTTATGACCATCAAAACCAAATGAAACCATATTCCTCCTCACAGCAATCCTATAGGGTAAAGTAGAACTCCCCCATAGGGTAACCAAGGTGTAATCTTTAGAGAAGTACACTGCCACATCTTTCTCCCTCAGAGCAGTTGCTGGTTTTGAACCACTGACTTTTTGTTCCTTGTCAGGGTTCCTTGTTCTGACCATGGAAGTTGTTTATTAGCAATTCCATATCCACTAGTAGGTGATGTTTGGAGCTGGCATTACTATTACAACTGAAAGTGAGTCTCGTCATGGAGTTATAGCTTTCCTTTTTGAGCCTGACCATGATACCCTATGTTCCAGTGCCTATGTCTTAGTTTCTAGATTTTATTTTCATTCCAGTGCTACAGAGAGTTTGGCATCAACCCTGAGAGCTAACATTTCTGAAGTTCCAACACCATTTCTTGAATCAGTTCTCTCTCCTTGTCTTATCCAAATGGATCCCTACTTGAAATCAGCCCTCGCTCTCACAGAATTCACCTCTTCATTCCTTACTAAATTAGGCCAGACACAACTATCCAGTCCCTTATGCATGACTATTTGGCCAACAACCAGCTTCTTCTACCTCCTCCTCCCAAGCAGCTATCCCAGGAGTCTGCATTTGGCCAATTAATTGTCTCCACTATTCATGATTTCCCCTTCTCCATAGCCCTTTCTTTGATGCCACTTCCTTAAAACTTTAGCCTCATTTGGGTCTTTTTCATGACAAAGAATAAATAGATAGATAGATAGATAGATAGATAGATAGATAGATAGATAGATAGATAGATAGATAGATAGATAGATAGATTACAGCTGCTTTGAGTTGCCTTGTCTCATAGGAACTTTACATACATCAGAAGGAAATGTTACCTGTTCCTGCTTCATTCTCACCATCACCAACATGTTTGAGTCTACTGTTGTGGATATTGTGGCATCTCACCTAGTATCTCTTTTACTTCACCAAACATGATGCCCTCCACCGATGATTGATTCCTTCTGGTGTAATATCCAAAGTAAACAAGTCATACAATGTCCTGCTATAATCCATAAGGTTTTCATTGACTAATTTTCAGAAGTAGATTGGCAGGTTTTTCTTCCTAGTCTGACTTACTCTGGAAGGTCCACTGAAACCTGTCATGGATGATTCTGTTGGTGGCATAGCTTCTAGCACCATAGCTATACACAAGCCAGCATGATATAATAAACTGACAGAGACGTGGTAGAGCTTTATCAAAACAAGATGGGGTGGGGTTTAGTGTATAGTTACATTCCTATTTATTTCTCACAACAGCCCTATGAGATGGGTGTCCTCATCCTGTTTTATAAAGAAAGAAACTTAAGCTCACATACAATAAACAATCTGTCCAGGTAAATGATGCAGCCAGAGAATTTGAACCCTGGATGACAGACTCCAAATCCCAAATGTGTTCATTACTCCATGTCCCCTAGAGAAAGTGAGGGTGAGATGACTGTCCTATTTACACCTGGGACCCATCTGGCTTCCAGGAAGGTCCTGGACCATGGTCTGCAATGAAAACGTCTGGTTTATAGATCACAAAGAAGATGTCTTATAAACTCCACATAAGCTTACTTGAAACATAATGAGCTAAAAAGCCATCCATACTCTGTGTTGATGAAGTTTAGGGTAAGAACTGGATCTTGCAGATAATAATAATTTGCAAGCCCAGTGCTGCACTGAAAACCATCATTTTAGGAAAGATGTGCCGTAGTAGAAAAGAAAATCAACATATCAGAGGAACAAAGGATGCTACCAATAGAAGAATCTGTGTTATTGTGCCAAATTCACATTAATTTCATTGTGGGTGCTGAGATCAGCCTGAGAAGTGGCGAAAAGGATGGCAGTGGAAGTTTGTGGGGCTGGGAACTGGAGCAGGGAGTCTTTATCGAGATAGCAAGTGATAAATTTAGAAAAAGGTTATGAAGGAGATCCTGGATATAAAGTGTGAGGCTGGATGGTTATGTGCCGTGGAGTCGTGGAGTTGTGGTTCTGATTCACAGCAACCCTGTATAGAGTCTCCAAGGCTATAAATCTTTGCGGGAGCAAAAGGCCTGATCTTTCTACTGCAGAACAGCTGGCAGTTTCAAACTGCTGACCTTGAAGTTAGCAGCCCAACTCGTAAACACTACACTACCAGAGCTCCTTAAAAAATGCAAGGAGGAAGAGTCAAATGAACCCCCAAACAAGGGATGCCAGGGAGCAAAATGTGGATAGAAGCTGCAGTAAGCACACAAAGCAAAAGGATTCAGAACCTGTGACATGAAAGTAAATGCAGGTAGCTCAGAGGCAAGTGAGGACAAGGTGGAGTTCCTACAGGAGTATTAGCAAATGTCCATGATCTACTCTAATGAGATGGCCATACATCAGTGGATCAGTTAGGCATAAAGTAGGAACCATGTTGTAGTCATTCCTTTTCCCCGACATGTTGCACAATTCCTGGCACATACTAGGTGAGAATCAGAGGTTTATTGAAGAGGTAAGGCAGAAAGAAAGACATTAAGTTGAATTAGAGGTCGGAGAGTTGACTTGGAACTGGGCTTCTGCCTAGCCAAGTGACCTTAGGAAGTTACTTCACCTTTCTGAACCCTAATTTATGAATACAATGAAGAGGTTGGATGACAAACTTAATAACCTGTTCCATGTTATAAGGCATTCTGGGTCTATGAATAAGTGGATCAGCCAAATAAGGGCTGTTTTGACAGGGATGTTAGTATTCTTACCAACATGCAATATCATAACAGAAAGGCATCCCTATAAATGCTGGTGATATCAAGAAAAATCAAGACAAGGCCCTCTCCTCAAACCAGTGAACACATGGAGAGAGGCAGATTGCGAAGATATTGCAGTACAGTTAGAACAATTGCAATACAATAATTATAATAAAGTCATTACAATACAGTCACAAATATTTTCCTAGAGATAATGCTATGGGACCAAAAGAGGAAGCGGTTTCTTTTCTCAGGAGTGTCAGAGAAGATAACTCAAAGGAGGTGACATTTGAGATGGATCTTGAAAAGATGATCTTTGTTCTCCAGATGAAGAATGCAGGTTCAAGTGGACAATCCAGCTGGACACAAGAAACTATATGTACCAAGTTTCACAAGTCATAAAATTTAAGATTTGTCAATGGTAACTGAGGATTTGATGCAGAAGATACTGCATTTTCTGGTTTTTGTTTTAAGAAAAAAAAGGACTTTTGATCTGAGGGAAAAAAATTGTTCCCATCTTAACTGTATTGCCAAGTACAATGAGAACTTCTAGGAATGAGGTTTGACCAAGGGCAATAAACTATGCCTTTGTCCTACTTTCATTAAATAATTCTTATTAATATTATTATTGCTTTAATCATCATAGCTAACTTTTATGGATCTATGCAGATGGTTTCCCCACATCAGCTTTAACTCACTACGCACAATCCCTGAAACGTATCATCAGCCCCACTCTGTAAATGAACAAATGAACGTCACGGAGTTTAGCAATCTTGATCAAGGTTAGGCAGTGAAAACCTGGCAGCATCAGGGTTCAAGCACAGATCTTTGAGACTACAACTCCTATTTTTAAAAACTGTATGACCTTGGGTATTGCAGGTTCCTCATCTGTGACAGAGCAGATAATAATAAAAATTCATGTTGTGGAAAAACTTGGAGAATAAATAAATCAAAATAAATAAAATAACTCCTACCTATCTGGATTTCTGTCAGAATTAAATGAGTTGGTATGAGAAAGTGCTTTGTAAACTGCAATTTGCCCTCCAAATTTTATCATTATTATTATTTCAAAAAATATGGCCGCTTCCATAAAATAAAGTCATCGGTGGCACATATTTATGACAACATGCCTCAGAAACAATTTCTATTCTGATGGGTTGCCTCCCTATCATGTTATTAAAAGGTTAAGGAAAATGAACAACAGAGGATTGAGATTAAATCTTTCACACATGAAACCACAAAATCAATACAGACCCATAATCCATCTGGTGATATGAAGAAATATATACAAGGCACCTGGAATGATTACTCAAGAAAATGTCAACAGGTATTGACGAGAACCCTGGCAAGGAAGCCATGGCTGAGGCGTGGCTACTCATTCCCTCATTTGCGCCCCCACATGGACAGAAAGAGATTCACACCCCCAAAGAACTGAAGGAAACAGGTGCTTTGTATTCTCTTGAAATCCTGCAGAATTTATATTTCTGCAGTTGGATCACAGCTGTTTGGAAAAATGATAGCTTAAGCAGCACCTTGAGAAGCAGGTGATTACACCCATTTGGGGTAAATATAAAGCCAACTCAAAAATAATCTGCTATTTTCCTCACACTATGATGGTCATTATCACCATGGTTATTATTCAGTATTTAGAGGAAGCCAACTATCTTCCTGGACACCTGTGGGATTGGCAGCCAAGGCTCAAAACTCAAAACAGTGAGCTTTCTGCTCCAGCTGGGAAGCTTGCTCAAGAAGGAAAAGTTTGGTTAGAGTTCCAGTCAGACCTTTAGAATAAAACTGAGATTTGACTAAATATAAGAATGGGACAATACTCCTCACATACAGGAGACCTGAGTTTGACTACCAGCCAGTACGCCTCATACACAGCCACCAACCTATCTCGTTGGGAGATTTCCTCTTTTTTTGTTGCTCCTCCACTTCATCAAACATGATGCCCTTCTCCAGAGACTGGTCCCTCCTGAAAATATGTCTGAAGTATGAGAGATGAAGACTCATCATCCTAGCTTTGAAGGAGTATTCTAGCTGTACTCCCAGCACAGATTTATGTGTTCTTCTAGCAGCCCATGGTACTTTAAATATTCTCCTCCAATACCATGACTGAAATGCATCCATTTTTCTGTGTTCTTCTTTATTCATAGTCCAACTATCACATGCATATGAAGTTATTGAAAATGCCATAGCTTGTGTCAGGCACACCTTAGTCCTCAAGCTAACATCTTTGCTCTTAAACACTTTAAAGAGGTCTTGTGCAGCAGATTTGCCTAAAACAATATGTCATTTGATTTCTTAACTGCTGAGTGTTGATAGTGAATCCAAGCAAAAAGAAGTCTTTGATAATTTCAATCTTTTCTCCATTTATCATGATGTTATTTATTGGTCTTGTTGTTAAGTGCCGTTGAGTTGGTTCCAACACATAGCCACCCTATATAGGGTTTCCAAGGAGTGGCTGGTGAGTTTGAACTGCCTATCTCGTGATTCAGACCAACCTTTTGGTTCAGTGTTTTGTGAAGATTTTTTATTTTTTTTAACATTGAGGTGCAACCCATACTGAAGGTCTTTGATTTTCATCAGTAAGTCATAAGTCATTTTTGCTTTCAGCAAGCAAGGTTGTACCATGTACATATCCCATGCTGTTAATGAGTCTTTTTTTCACCCTGATGCTATGTTCTTCTTCCTAAAATCCAGTTTCTTGGATTATTTGCTCATTATATAGATTGAGTAGTTATGACGCAAGAATACAACCCTGGCACGCACCTTTCCTGATTTTCAACCATTCAGTATCCCCTAGTTTTCTTTGAACAGCTGCTTTTTGGTCTATGTACTGATTCCTCATGAGTACCATTAAGTGTTCTGGAATACTCATTCTTCACAATGTCATCCATAGTTTGTTATGATCCACACAGATGAAAGCCTTTGCCTAGTCAATAAAGCACAAGTAAACTTCTTCCTGGTGTCTCTGCTTTCAGCCAAGATCCATCTGGTGTCAACAATGATATCCCTTGATACATGTACTCTTCTGAATGTTGTTGTTATTGTTGTTATTAAGTGCCATTGAGTTGGTTCCCACTCAGAGTGACTTTATATAGAGTTTCTGAGGAACAGCTAGTGAGTTGGAACGGCCACACTTGTGGTTCAAACCAACCTTGTGGTTCAGTGCTTATCCTACAGTGCCACACCAATAGCTACTCCTATATATTGGATACCTGTTCTGTATCAAGGACTGCAGGAATTTTGCATATGTTGAGTCTAATTTTATAACCCCCATTCAAGTACCATTCCTTCAGCTTTATAGTGAAGGAACTGAGGAGCAGAGATGCTAAGTAAGTTATCCAAAGTTACATAGCTAGTAAGTGACAGAATTGATATTTCAACAGCCCATTTCCACTCCAGTGCTTACATGCCTCCCACACATTGGGGCTGTCTCTTGATAGTATAAATACTGAAACCAAAAGTGAGTGTTGTGACCGGCAAGATCATAGTGCAGAACTGTTATCAAAATAAATATGCCAGTCCATTGCTGTCTAGTTCAAACTGACTCCAGGTGACCCCTGGTGTAACAGAGTATAATAGATCCATAAGGTTTTCAATGGCTGATATTTGGAAGTGGATCCAGGTCTTTCTTCCTAGATACCTCTGAGTGAACAAAAGTAGCTGAAAACTTTTCCTTTTACTCCACCCAGGGTCTCATTATCCCACTAAAAGTACAGTCAAGTGGCTGAACTTAAGGATGGTAGAAGTAGCAAGAGAGCTTCCAGGAAAGAGCAGAGAAACCAAGCGAATGGGAGAGACCTGTACTAATTCTGGAGGATTTGGAATGCTTGCTGCCATAGGTTCCCCCCACCACCACCCCTGAATCAAACATTTGGGCATTTAATTCCCCTCAGAACCCACCCACAGAGTGTCCTTCTCTAGCCTCTAAGGTGGTGTGGGCAATGTCCAATCCATGGGTCATATAAGACAAAAGAAATTGTATGGTCTGCTCCAGCCAAGGCAGCCGCTGTTTGACCCATTACATTTGTTGCTGTTGTAAAGTGCTGTAAGTCGGTTCCAATCCATACACACCCTGTATAGAATTTCAGGGAAGCAGCTGGAGGGTTTGAACTGCTGACCTTATGGTTCAAAATGCAGTCCAGTGCATTTTCCTGCAGAGCCACACCAGGACTC